GGCAGCGGCAGGGGGGCGGCAGTTGGGGGCGAGCAGGCCGGCAGGCAGAGTGGTTAGAGGCAATCAGGCAGGCAGGTGAGTGGTTAGGAGCCAGCAGTCCCGGATTGCGAGAGGGATGTCCGACTGCTGGTTTAGGCCCGATCCCTGTAAACTGGCAGGACATTTTTCAAGGGGTCCCAAATTGGAGAGGGTGCAGGCCAGGCTGAGGAACACACCCTCCCCTGTGCACGAATTTCGTGCACCGGGCCACTAGTTTTATATAATTTATAATGACCAAGATGCCTTTTATATTGTTATTGGTATATACATCCTCCTGGAGTAGTAGCACTGCCTTTTCTGTTCATTTGTAGTGCAATGCTTTAAGACATTTTTATTCTGTAAATTCGGAGAATGATTGGGAAGTCTTGAATCACACTATCTCATTCCAGCTTTGGGTGCCCTCTTTTGGCCTTCACTAAACAAATGTTATCTCTTATGTTCTGAAGGAGCCCCCTTTCATTAGAACAGAAGTTACCGCATGGATGAGAATGGTCTTTGATGAGTCTTAAAGAACATGTTTGAGGATAAAGCCTATCCCTTTATACTTCATCTTGGAAAGTGTTATTTGGTGATGACAAGGAAGGAAAACAGGGCTTTCATAAAAGAGATTATTAAAAGTGCATCTAGCCCTAGCTGGTTTGGCTCAGTAGATAGAGCATCAGCCTGCGGACTGAAGGGTCCCAAGTTTGATTCCGGCCAAGGGCACATGCCTGGGTTGTGGGCTCGATCCCCAGTAGGGGGTGTGCAGGAGGCAGCTGATCAATGATTCTCTCTCATCATTGATGTTTCTATCTCTCCTCCCTCTCTGAAATCAATAAAGAAATATATATTTTTTAAAAAGTGCATCTAAAAATACCTACATATACACATACATACATATATACATGCATATATACATACATGCAAATTATTAAATGTGCATCTAAAAATAAGCATACACATATACATATATACATATACATACATGTGTATATATGTATACATACACACATACATGATGCTCCTATTACACCCAGGAATTTTGAAGTAAAAAGAGAAAGGTAAAGTCACATGGAGGGCTACAGCCTTCCTCTGAGCTCAGGAGCTTGTGTATACAGCCAACATTAAATGATCATCTCAATAATAAAATTTCTGTATATTTGAAAGGAAAGATGGCTGGTTAGTTCCATTTAATAATAAAGGTAGAGACCATTGTTAACTGTATTTTGTTTATGGTAACATAAACATAATCATGAATTTAGGGATTCACCTTTTTACTGTGGTAGCTAATGTTCATCAGAGAAACTAAATAGAAGATTTCCCATAAACTAATTTTGGAAGTGTGACTACATTAAGTGATAGACATTTTAATGGCAGAAACCAAGATGAGTGCAATTTAGATATTGTTCCTTTGGTTTGAAGGACTAGTTTGATCCCAAGTAAAATTGGCCAACCTTTTTAAATATCCAAATAACCATAGTTTACTATCCATGTATAATCATCAATTCACTTTTCTTTGACTGCCTCTCCTTGACCTTTTTATTTTAATTTATTTTATTTTTAAAGATATGTTTTTATTGATTTCAGAGAGAGGAAGGGAGAGGGAGAGGGAGAGGGAGAGATAGAAACAGCAATGACGAGAGAGAATCACCAATTGGCTGCCTCCTGCCCTCCCCCTACTGTGGTTCAAGCTCAAAACCCAGGCATGCGCCCTGACCGGGAATCAAACTGTGACCTCGTGGTTCATAGGTCGACACTCAACCACTGATCCACCCCAGCTGGGCTCCTTGAGCTTTTTCATTGGCTTCAGTTCTTGGAGGAATCTACAGCTTTCTAAGCATTGCTTCCCAAGTCAGGATTAGGCCAGTTGAATGCGAGCAGAGCCTGGGGCCTGGCTGTTACTGAACACTGTTCTAATGTTCTATTGTCTATATGATTGTAGAAGGTTCTGGTACAACCTCCAGGTCATCCTAACATCTATACTGATTTGAGGATCTCCTAGTCTGGGACTAGCAGATATGTTTGTTTCTTTATTTTTGCAGAAATTTTAACTTATCTATCTCACATGTTCTAACCAATGTTCTCTCAAGTCCTGTCCATCAGGACTGATGTTGAGTTAGGGAAATAGAACTGTTATATAGAATTTGGTTTCTAATGTCTATAGCAGTTTAACTTAAGGTGTAAAAATAGTTGTTTATATCACTAAAAAGCATGCTAAATTTTGATACATACAGAATCTGGTCTTTCTTGCAACTCCTAAAGAACTCTGTTGAATTAAATAAATTCCTATGGGTAAAGTGAAATTGGTAATATTTGCCCATATATTTTAATGAGAAATGTTTGATAATAAAAATGAAGATATTGCTGAGTTGAAATGTATTTTTATTCCTCCCTTCCTTTTAATGATTTTATAAGTAAATATTCAATAAGCAATTCTGATTTTTCATATTTTTTCATCAGAGTCAAAACTTTTTCCTAGTTGACTTGTAGGCTTTAAAAGACTTTTTGCACTGACCTGGGCTTGATTTTGCTCTGAGGGCCTCCTGTAAACTCATTTGTTGGTTCCAGGAATTTTTTTCTCTGAAGGCTTATGATCCTGTGGGTAAACAGGCAAAAGTTTGGAGGCTCTATTGTCATTTGGCAAGGTTTATTACCAAATTATTTTATTTTTTTCACCTTCAAAATATGACAGTTCTTTGTCTTTCATAGCTAGAGAAGATTTCTTATATCTAGATCAGTGGTTTGCAAACTGCAGCTCGCGAGCCACATGCGGCTCTTTGGCCCTTTGAGTGTGGCTCTTCCACAAAATACCACATGCGGGCGTGCACATACAGTGCGATTGAAACTTCGTGGCCCATACACAGAAGTCGGTATTTTGTGGAAGAGCCACACTCAAGGGGCCAAAGAGCCGCATGTGGCTCGCGAGCTGCAGTTTGCCGACCACTGATAGATATTCAATCATTCTGCTCAGTGTTTCCCCCAGAACTTTTTTTAAATAAGAAAAACACTTTCCTTAGCTTCATTTTAGTTGAATATATTAGAGATTGGTGAGAATGAAGTTTTCTTTCTAAGTTGGTGTTTACAGAAAGGAAAGTGAAAGACACGGGTTATTCAATGAATGCCCTATTTTCCAGGGCTTCCTTAGTATGCATTGCCCTTTTCCATTCCCAGGGAAATAAATGTCTCTTGTCAAGAAGTTGATAGTAAGGTGGGCTAAGGCAAAACTTTTCTCTTGACCTATGGATAGAAAATAAGTCATTGTAAGAGAAGAAATGGAAAAGGGACATCTAGCAGGGTGAGTAACCCTTCTTTTCCTTGTCTATAAGTCAAATGAATTTGAATACATTGATGCTTGAAATATTGGTGAAATCAGTGTTCTCTGATTATTAAGTGTGATTCAAAATGGCGTTTCCAAGTTTGGTGAAAGCATACATAATTCTATAAACAAAGTATGGACTGAGTCTTGAACTTACTTTTTTCCCATATCTGATGAAACTTCCCTGGGTTCTTGTGTTTATTCTCTTGATCCATTCTCTTCATTGCTGCACAGCTATCCATTCACATACTTTAAATTCCTGAAAGCTTGTCTCATTTACTTCTCAAATAATTGGCAATATTTTGAATGTGTGTGATTTTGGGTTTGTGATTCTGTTATTTAGGAGATGCCAAAATTGGCAATAACAGTGTCAGCTCTCTAAAGAATGATGACTTCACCATGAGGGGTTTGCGACGTGATGGGAATGCTGATGATATCTGGACTGCCTCACAAACTGCAAAATCATGCGGGAGAAGCATTTCCATAGAAACCGCCAACTTAAAAGAATATGCTAGATATGTACTGAGAACTATTTGTCAACAGGTATCTTCAGATTTAATTGGCCTTTAACTTTGAATATGTAACTGTTATTTTGGAAAGAATCTCACTATTGTACAAAACGTGTACATAGATGGTCCTTTTTATCCTGCTTTGTTTTGACATAATTTCAAATTTGCTGAAAAGTTGCAATAATAATAAAGAACTCTAGTATATCCTTTATACAAATTCACTAACTTTTTACATTTTGCCACATTTGCTTTATAATTCTATTTGTGTGTGTCAGTATGGATGCATATACTTAAAAAAAAATTTTTCTGAGCCATTTGAGAGTAGTTGGCATACATTATTCTTTTTTACTTTTGAATACTTTAGTGTTTGTTAACATGAACAAAATACAGTTAAAAAAAAACTCAGGAAATTTAGCATTAGTACAGTAAATTTTTCTCACCTATAGACCTCATTCTAATTTTGTCAGTTGTTCCAACTATGTTGGATTTGTGTGAAGTTTCCTGTAGATTAGCTTCAGATTATGCATTCCTAACTAGACACTGCAGCGGTAATGCTGGGTTCTTCTCGGGTACTCACATCGGAAGGCCCATGATGTCCATTGGCACCTCATTGATGATATTAACCTTATCAAGATGTCTCCATTGTATGATTTCAAAATTTCTCTACTGGATAATTAATTATTTTCCTTGTAATTAATAAGCGGTCTTTGGAGAGACACTTTAAGACAATGCAAATATTCTCATCAAATTCTCTCACCTCCCATGTTGCATCCATTTTGATTCTTGTCCAAACCAGTCTTTACTGTGATGGGTGCAAGATGGTGATTTTCCTCCAAACTCCTCTCCTCTCCAGTTATCAGTTTGCACTCTTCCCTAAGGAAAAGCCCGCCCTTAACTTATATTTACTAATTTTCTGTATGGATTATGATTTACTGTCCTTGGTTATGTTCATGTTCAAATTGCCCAGATTTTTCTGGTGGGACTCTTTTCATGCTGGATCTCATGTTATTTTGATATGTCTTTATCTTTATTTTTTATTTTTTTTAACTTTCTGGCTCCTTTTGTACTTTCCCTGCCCCAGATCTAGAATTACTCATTCCTCTGAAGAACCTTGATTCTGTGTAGCACAAGGTGGTATTTAGAAACCAAGATCAAGGCACTGTGTATGCTCATTGTTTTAGGCCTTTTCAGCAGACAGAGCTAAGGAAAAAACATATCTATATACATAAATGTGTGTGTAAATCACGAGTTCATACTGATATCTTTACTTCCAATCCAACCCCACAAAGTCCTTTGTTTTCCCCATTCCACATTAATATTGCCTTCTTCCACACTATGAACCCCACTCCCAATAATATTAACCCTTTACTCATTTGCTTTATTCTGTAATATACCTGTAATAGTTTCAGAATTGCTACACCCATACTACTAGGAAAAACAAACTTACTAAAAGGATTTGAAGATTTGTTTATAGTTCTTCCCTAAGAGTTTACCATATTATGTTGAGAAATCATTTGAACTTTCTCCCTCACTGTGGATATATTTCTTGCTTGAAATAGAACTGATTTTTATTTGTTTTTGTTTACATTCGGTGTAGGTCCACCCCCCGCCACCCCCCCAGCTCTGTCTTTAGAATAGCATGCTCCCACAGGCCAACTATGCAAAAGGTGTACTCAGAGATATGTCCTCTCTCCCTAATCCCTGCTACCCTTTGTCTCACCCTGCCCTAAGTGACCAGTTTCATTATCTTCTGCTTTAACTTTTCATATATTTAAAAAAATCTTCTCCTTTCTTAGTAAAAGAATCAGGGCATACCATGTATACTCTTTTTTACGTTCCAAATGTTGACAGGGTCATGTTTTTTATAAGGCATATTATAACCATGGTAAAAGTTAGCTAAATAGTTATATAGGTACTAGAGGCCTGGTGCATGAATTCGTGCACCAGTGGGGTCTGGCCAGCCTGCCCGGGCCAATTGGGTGGGGCTGGCTGGAGGGAGGGGACACAAGAGTTTGGCCAGCTGGCCCCACCCCCAATTGGGGTGGTGGGGGCAATCGGGGGCAGGGCCGGCCTGGGGGAGGGGCCTTGGGTGGTTGACCAGCAGTCCCTGCCCCCATGGTTGAATTCCAGGTCGAACTCCTGGTCAAGGGGACAATTTGCATATTAGCCTTTTATTATATAGGATTAAGAAGTTGTTGGGTTGTGCACTGGTTCCATACTGTGAGGGCAATTGGAATTACCTAAGGAGTTAAAATTGGTTTTGATGCCTTAAGAAAATGACTGCTATCTGGTCCACAACCTAAGATTGACTTAATTGATTTGATGTAGGGCCCACACTTTGTTAACAAGGTCCTCAGGTGATTTTAATGGATAATCAGTGTTTAGTCACAGGTGTAGTGGTTAAGAAACAGGTTTCATTTTAAACAGATCTGGGCTCAAATTGGGCTCAGGAACAGTTGACAAAGTCTTACCTCATCCAATCTAATAAAAGAGTAATATGCAAATTGACCATCATTTCAACACACAAGATGGCCACCCCCATGTGGACACAAGATGGCCAGCAGGGGAGGGCAGTTGTGGGTCATCAGGCCGGCAGGGGAAGGCAGTTGTGGGTGATCAGGCCAGCAGGGGAGGACAGGGGCAACCAGGCTGGCAGGGGAGTGGTTAGGGGCAATCAGACAGGCAGGCAGGTGAGCAGTTGGGAGCCAGCAGTCCTCAATTGTGAGAGGGGTCCCAGATTGAAGAGGGTGCAGACCGGGCTGAGGGACACACACTCTTCCCCCCTCCCCCCTCCCATGTACAAGTTTCGTGCACCGGGGCTCTAGTTTAAAATAAGAGTTTCCTTTGAAAAACTGATGAAGAAAGTGTGATAGAAGTTTAAATTAGTAGAAACTCTCTACAGGTTAATTAGCCATATGCATCAATAGCCTTAAATTTTTGCTATACTTCTTAACCCAGCAATTGCACTTTATGAAATTATCCTGAGAAATCAATTGTACAGAGAATAGATGTGCACAAACATTTATTTATAATACTAACATTGTAATATCAAACAGGAAGACAGTTTTCTGAATGTTATACTGTGTTCTATTCAGTAGAACATAGCATAATGCATTTCATAAAAATGGCATCTTATAAATAGACTCATTGCCCTTACATATGGCAAGCTAAAAAAAATGATTGTAAAACAGTTGCAAGAACAAGAACCCATTTTCCAATTGAAACACATACCAATATTTTCCTTAGCTTTCTTTTCTTTCCTTTATTTTTGCATATCTATTTTTTAAAGTTTTCTTTATCCAAGATTTCACTTTGTATTTTAAGAATTTAAAATACTAGAAAAGTTTGTTTTTAAAACTTTTGCCACCATTTTGTGTGTGTAATACTTTGTTAATTGGAAGATTCCTGTCTGCTTTATATTCCATTATGTGCCATGAACTTAGTACATATTACATAGGCATGTAGAAAGCCCATGCCTACCAATCTAACTGCTGTATGATTTTTAGGAATGGGTAGGAGAACATTGCTTAAAAGAACCTGAAAGATTGTGCACAGACAAAGAACTAATATTGGACCCTGTGCTTTCAAATATGCAAGCACAGAAACTACTGCAGCTCATCTGTTATCCTCACGGCATTAAAGAATGTACTGAGGGGGACAACCTGCAAAGACAGCACATTAAGCGCATTCTTCAGGTGAGTGTCAGTAATTTAAAGATTATGTTTCTGTGATTTGACACATTCTTTGTAATTATAACAAAAATGACTGTAGCATTCCCACCGGCTCTCTTAGGCTTTTCTTATGCCTTAAGACACATCTTGCTAACAAATGTGCAAAATAAGTCGAGATAAAGCCAGATGCTCACAGGCGTGGTTTAAAAACCGATGCTGAGAGGCTGTGTGTGGTTCCCAGGGAAGGGGTTTGGTGCCTGGGCTACCCTCGCTGCTGGGTGCCCACTGCCTCCATCACAGCTTACTGCACAGCAAGCACAGCACTGTTTTCGCACTCTCCGATTTCATTCTGTTGGTGAAAACAGGCTAATGTAGGTCTTTCCTTAAAGTGAAGTGCTTGCCCTGCCCTGTGTGGTTCAGTTGGTTGAGCATCGTCTGTGCACTGAAAGTTCGATTCCCAGTCAGGGCACATGCCCAGGTTGCGGCTTGATCCCCGGTGGAGAGGGAAAGAGTGTGCATGAGGCAGCAGATTGATGTTCTGCTCTCACATAGTTGTTTTTCTCTTGTCCTTCCTCTCTCGTTAAAAATCAATAAAAATATTTAAAAAGAAAAAGTGAAGTACTTAACACAAACTTTTTTATTTTTTATTTTTGTTGATTTCAGAGAGGAAGGAAGAGGATGGAGAGAGAGATAAAAATATCAATGATGAGAGAGAATTATTGATCGACTGCCTCCTGCATGCCCCCTACTGGGCATCCAGCCCAAGACCCGGACATGTGCCCTGACTGGGAATCAAACTGTGACCTCCTGGTTCATAGGTCAATGCTCAATCACTGAGCCACGGTGGCTGGGCATTTAACACGAACTTTTGAAAAGCAGTGGTGCCTGTAGATCCCTTTCTTGTGTGTGACTATTCTAGTCTTTCTTGAAATAGGGAAACTGCCAGTAATTCCTGTGTTTTAAGACATGCGTAATGTCCTTAATGTCTTAGTTATTTCCATTTCCCCCAGAACCTTGAGCAGTGGACACTGAGGCAGTCCTGGCTAGAACTTCAGTTAATGATTAAGCAGTGCTTGAAGGACCCAGTGAGTATATCTGAAGAGCATGCATGTGTATAAAATTGTATGAAAAGCAAAGCATGTTGACATTTGAGGTTAAAGTAAAATGTATGTGTGCTAGTTTTCTTGTGTCTGGCACTAGGGCTCTGGTTCGGTGGCTGAAATGAACAACTTACTGGACAATATTGCTAAGGCGACCATAGAGGTGTTCCAGCAGTCTGCTGACATGAGCATCAACTCTTCCAATTCCGGTACGGGGCTCTTCAACCCGAACGGGATCGGAAGCTCCGATGCAGGAAGCACAAGGCAGAATGGAATAAAGACATTTCTAAGGTGTTTTTTCTGTGGCTTTATTACTAGTAGTCTCTTGTTATTTTTTCACATGTAACTGTGTTTTATTTGCATAATCCAATATTTTTTCATAAAGCTGCAGGAATATGAAGAAAGTAATAACTTGTGTCAGTTATCATTATTTAATAATAAGTTAAAGGGCAATGCTACAGGCTGCATGATATCTTAGTGTTCTAAATACTAGGTTAATCGGGCCCAGACTCCTGGGAACCACAGGTGACATTCAGGGTGCATTAATTTCTTTAGTGTTCACTGTTCCGTGGTATTTGTTACATAGGAAACACTTTTTCTACCTTCTTTAAAAATGAGCATTTTTGCATAAACTATAATCATGAAAGGCAGATTAGCTGTATTTCATCATTTTGGTGTAAAGTATAACTAGTGAATTCTAAAACTTTAAAAACAGGCTATCAGTGTGCTTAAATGTAACCAGAACATTTCATATCTTAACCAGGACAAAAAAGTGTTGGACAAAATAACTGTTACTAATCAGGGAGCCACAATAATAGAAAAGTATATTTGTAGATTTTTAAACAAACTTTTAGTTATACTCCCAGAACCGTGTCTTTTATTGCCCTCTATAAGCACGAGTGGAAAAGTGTGTGCAAATATCTGGTATTTGGCAAAATATTTACTGTGCGATAGCATAGAAATGAAAGGGAAATTTCTGAATAATCAGTGTATCTTGTGTATAAAATTTTTACATGGGAATTTCTGTCATAACTCTGAGAAAAAGGTGCCTCATTGGGCATAACGCCTGTTTCTGATTTTAGCTCCTCTGAACGCAGAGGTGTGTGGCTGGTGGCCCCGCTCATTGCCAGGCTGCCAACCTCTGTGCAAGGAAGAGTACTGAAAGCTGCCGGGGAGGAGCTGGAGAAGGGACAGCACTTGGGTTCTTCTTCAAAAAAGGAAAGAGACAGACAAAAACAGAAAAGGTATGCCTGCAAGTTGTGTCTCTATGTCTGATTTGAAATAAAGAAATGTAGCATTCTGCAAACATACATGTTCACTGCCCTCCAAGTCCACTGAAATTTTGTTATTAAATGAAATTGAAAATGTTTTGTTAGGTGAGGCGCTGTTCCTAAGAAGTTACACGTTCTCAGTTCCGCCTACGCACCCCGATGCTGCTATGAAAATCCTGACTTCTTAGCCCCACTGCATCCTGAATCAGACCTGGATTGCCACCTGGTCCCTGTTTTCTCCTTTTAATCACTTTTCTTTCTTTTTATTTTATTACTTAGGTCTTTGTGTTTAAAATACATAGAAATATTTCTAGTTCTGTCTTGTTGGACCCTGAAATAGTTACTAATATTTTTAGCATTTAAGGTTCTTGTTCTAGATTAGATATTAAAACTTACAAACCATGAAGTTTAATGTTAATTTATTTTATGCCCTGAAAAGATTTCAAATAATTCTATTTGAAAACTGACTGTGTTACTGAAGAAGTGTAAAACCACTCTCGAATATGAAAACATGGTGAATTTAGCACCAAAGGATAAGGGGGAAATAATGATAATTTATTCTGTTTGTTTGTGGGGGGGGAGAGGGGAGGGGGGGGGGGGGGGGGAAGGGGGGAGAGGGG